ATACTTTTGAATTCTTAGGTAATATCTTCACTTGAATATAGAAAAAATGTCGAGGTTCAATTCTGAGATCAGAATTCAGTTTCAGACTATAAAACATTTGCTTTGAACTGATAACTAATTTTTTTTATAAATGGACTGAGGAGATCGAATCAAAGTTATTCTCCATAAATGTTTGTTTTTAATTTGGATCTGAAATGGAAATAATAATCTGAGTTTGTCTTGCTTCTGAAAAGTGAGCCATTCTTTATTCCCTTTCTGTAAATTTAGTTTTGGGTTGATGTAATCTACCCAACATTGGTAACATAGTGCAGATTTGTAGCACCTTTAACTTACAATTAAGCTTGAACTTTAGACAGATCTAGCATTGAAGTGTAAATTTTTCTGTTGGTATTCATGCTGAATATATGAATTTGGCAGATTTAAAATAAACTATGATTAAGCAGCAAAAAGACAAATATATTTTTGAAAGGATTTGGTTTTTTAGACAAATTTTAAATAAGTTCATAGTAAAATTGAATAGGAAGTACCGTTTTCATATGCCTTCTCCTTCCTCCACATCCTCCATCATAATAGCTCATTTTTTAAAACTGATTAACCTTTCCTGATACATTATGATCATAGAGTCCATGGCAAATGTGTAATAACACTATTCTCCTTTGTAGTATCAGAGAATAGTTTTTTTTTTTGGGTCTGGTCGTGGGGCCTGAACTCTGGGCCTGGGCACTGTCCCTCAGCTCTTTAGCTCAAGGCTAGCGCCCTACCACTTGAGCCACAGTGCTACTTCCGGCTTTTTTTCTTTTTTGCTTATGTGGTGCTGAGGAATCGAACCCAGGGTCTCATGCATGCAAGGCAAGCACTCTACCACTGAGCTACCTTCCCAGCCCCTATTCCTCTATTCTACCTCATTCAGCTGTGTTCTCCTTCTCTTGCCCTGATTCTTGGCATCATGGGCCTTTTTTTTTTTTTTTGTAGGTGTGCTGATCATTAGGTATAATCAGTGTTAAGTATGGAAAAGACATTTGAGAAATAGGTGATATCTGTGATCTATTTTTCAGCTTTGATCTTGAAAGACCCATTTGAGGGCTGCAGTAGGGAGAACTGACTTCGAAGTATGAAATCAAGATAATACTGGATGGCTGAAATCTTGCCCAGCAGAAGTGCTCTACCACTTGAACCACTGTACTACTTCTGGCTTTTCTTTTTTTTTTTTTTTCTTTTTTTAATTTATTTTATTTGTGAACATACTTACTTCTGGCTTTTCTGACTAGTTTATTGGAGATAAGAGTCTCAAGGACTTTCCTGCCTGGGCTGACTGAATCACAATCATCACATCTCAGCCTTTTAAATGGCTAGGATTACAGATGTGAGCCACCAGTGCCTGTCTTAATTTTGAAGCTTAAAAAAAAAGTTAGACTATTGTCCTTGGAGGAATGACAATTTTTTATTGTAATTTAGTGGTAAATATTCTTACTTCTCTTGATTTAGTAGAGGTATTTTTTCCAGGCTAATCAATGATCAAATTTGCTTATAAGTAAAGTTAGGTTCTAAGTAGAATGGTTAACTATTATTCATTCAAGAATATATTAATGATGTATTAATATATAAATAGCACATATTAATAATAATAGCACCTACTAGTCAAGGTGCTAAACACTGTTCTAGGTGCTGGGAGATAGAACTGAAGGATGACTAGTGACACACACATTCTTTAGAGGGAGAAGCTTGGAAGTACACATGTAAATAAATGAAAAAGGATTATTTTAAATACTGAAAATGATTGTAAAAATATTTAAAAGTTTTAAAGCCAGCCCTGGCAAGAATGTTGGTGAGGCTCTTATCTGGATCCACCAAAAAACCAGAAGTAGCACTGTGGCTCAACTAGTAGAGCACCAGCCTTGAGCTGAAGAGCTCAGGGATATCACCCAGGCCCATGATGGACAAAAAAAAAAAAAAGAAAAAGAAGAAAGAGAAAAAGAAAAGAAAAAAAGAAAAAGAAGTTTAAAAGTGATATGAGTGGGGTCTGTGATTTAGAATGAATTGAGTGGTCAGGGAAAACCATTGCGATACTAACATCTGAGCTGATAATTCCTATCTGTTGATAGAAAAAAATGGTGGTAAAAAGAATAGGGGTGATAGCAGCAGAAATTCTGAGATGAAGACAGATTTAAGATTTTTATTATTTGATATAGGGGTAAGAAAAGTAAAAATTTGATAAGGATAACTGAAAACCACTCTAGTGTTGTTATAAGGTGAATTATTCCAGAAGCCACATTTTGAAAGATGGAATATTGTAGTCTTCATTAAACAGTTAGCAGGCTGCAGGCATTCAGTTGTTATGAAGGCCTGCAGCTCCAAATACAATTAAGAGTTAGGATTCAGGCTAGAGAGAAAGGAAGAACAAAAACACTACGAACAAGCCAATTTAGCTCCCATGGAGAGCTGAATGGCAAGGCATAATTGTGGTTGGGCTGGCCTGTGCCTAGAGTATGAGTAAGGGGGCAGGTCTATAGGAAATTCCCAGTTCCGGGCACTGGACTGACAGACTCAATAACCTATTAGCCAAGTGCTACTCCTGTCTCCAGGGATCTGGGCATGCCTATCATGGGCAGGGGCTTTTCCTTCCCCCAGCATGAAAACAAGATGCCAGACCTTACCACACTCACCATGTGGCCAATATGGCGCCTGCCAGACCTGACCTCCTTCCTTTAGTATTTTGGCATTTTAAGGTATAAATAAAACTCCTTTTAGATTATTTTATTTATTTATTTTTTTGGGTCCAGTCATGGGGCCTGAACTCTGGGCCTGGGCGCAGTCCCTCAGCTCTTCAGCTCAAGGCTAGCGCTCTACCACTTGAGTCACAGCACCACTTCCGGCTTTTTTCTTTTTGCTTATGTGGTGCTGAGGAATCAAACCCAGGGCCTCAAGCATGCAAGGCAAGCGCTCTACCACTGAGCCACCTTCCCAGCCCCTGTTAGATTATTTTAAAACAACTGTTACCTTAATAACGTACATCCGTAGTGCTTGATATGTACCAATACATACTCAGTACATTTGATTCTAAATGACAGTTTTATGGACTTATGTACTATGATCTCCATTGTGCAGATGAGAGAACAGGCACAGACAACTTCTTACATATGCATGGACAATTTTACCTTCTGCCGTATGGCCTTAACCATTTCCTAAGCTTGGAAGCTTTTACATAGTTTGCTTACTGTTTTTTTTTTTTTTTTTTTTAATGTGGATTTTCCTAGTGATATGTTACCTTGGAATTTAACTGTGCTGTTCCCTTTTTGGAAAGTTTTATTTTTTGTGTATTCAAATAACCTATCTGGCTACACCTGTATGCCATTGAAACAGGCAGTGATAATATCCTCTTTAAATACAGATTGCTAGGGGTGGGAAGGTAGCTCAGTGGTAGAGCACTTGCCTTGCATGCATGAGGCCCTGGGTTTGATTCCTCAGCACCACATAAGCAGAAAAAGCCGGAAGTGGCACTATGGCTCAACTGGTAGAGTGCTAGCCTTGAGCTGAAGAGCTGAGGGACAGTGCCCAAGCCCAGAGTTCAGGTCCCATGACAAGCAAAAAAAAAAAAATACAGATTGCTTTTACTTCTAGAAATTCTCTTTTGAAACTGCTGGCTCTCTATTGTCAGTGTCTCTAGCACATTTTGAAATAACGTTTTTGATTTTGCGCTATACAGTTAAAGATGTCTTATGATGTGGAGGAAAAGCCTTTAACAAGTCTTTGCAAATCAGATAGGCTAGATGTTTCTGTAAGAATTCTTAAAAACCTAGTAATGTAGGCATATACATTTTGCTCTCTCTCTCATATACATTTTGCATCATGGTCATGTGGATAATGTATTGTGGGGAATGATCTATCATTCTTTAGTTGATTGGCTCTTTTTTTTTTTTGGGTCCGGTTGTGGGGCCTGAACTCTGGGCCTGGGCGCTGTCCCTCAGCTCTTCAGCTCAAGGCTAGCGCTCTACCACTGGAGCCACAGCGCCACTTCCGGCTTTTTTCTTTTTGCTTATGTGGTGCTGAGGAATCAAACCCAGGGCCTCATGCATGCAAGGCAAGCACTCTACCACTGAGCCACCTTCCCAGCCCCTGATTGGGTCTTCTTAATAGAGCCAATAAAATACTATTAAATATAGTGGATATCATAGGTCTTCTTATAATGGAAACTGACATTTAGCAGATTCAAGGGGAAGGTCTCTTACAAATTTTGATGTGGGAGAAAAGATCCCCAGGAGTAACTCATTATTATGTAGGATCAAGAAACCCAAAGTATATGTTTTCTGAAGCTATTAAGTATTTTATTTTATTATTATTTTTTAGAACAGAAATGTAAACTTTGGCCATTTTTCTTTCCTGCTTATGTTTATTTATTTATTCAGTGTTTTTCAGTGAAGTTCTTCGATAAAGGTTACTTTCTTTTGGTGTGTTGATAGGAAACAAAGGATGAGTTTATATGGTTGTTTTTGTGATTTCCATAATTTTGATGTGGAAGTTGTCGTTTGGTGAGAAAATCCCAGTGAAAGGTGTTGTTAGCATCTCATAGACTATTCTCCACTAAAACATTAATCTGTGCCTTGCTTTGATAAAAGGATGCTGTACTACTTCGTTACCCTTATAAAATTAGGGGCTTGTTATTTTTAGTATGTTATTTTTGGAAACTTCTTAAAATTTTACTTGTTTTGTTCCTGGCTATATCTCTTTTTAAAACTTTACCTTTAAAATTCAGATTTAAAAGCAATATTTATAATTTACATACAGTAGCAAAAGCTATTTATAGAATGATGAAGCTGCTCACATTTTGCTCTTAGGACTTGAGATAGAGGCCATTAGTATTCAACAATACTAAATACTATAAAATTGGAAATCTTTTTATAATTATTTTCAAGTAATATATGGAAGTTAATTTGCATTTTAGATGTAATTTTAAAGAAAATGTAATACAATGATTAATCTGTTTTTCCCTTTTTAAATTCTAGGTGAGGATTATGAAGATGATGATCTAGTAAACTCTGATGAGGTTATGAAGAAACCATGTCCAGTACAGATTGTTCTTGCCCATGAAGATGACCATAATTTTGAGCTTGATGAAGAGGCTTTGGAGCAGATATTACTGCAGGAGCACATACGAGATCTTAACATAGTTGTGGTGTCCGTGGCAGGAGCTTTTCGTAAAGGGAAATCATTTCTACTGGACTTCATGCTTAGATATATGTATAACAAGGTGAATAGTGTTTTAAATTGAACCTGGTAAAACAAAACAAAACATACTAGCTCTTCAAAAAATAGACAAAAGCCAAATTTGTATATTTAATTTTACAGAAATATAGTTTAAAAAATAGAACTTGTCAATTAAGACATGAATTTTGAGCTCTCGATTTCTCTATATTTCTATAATTGCTTTTGGAAATACATATTGATGAGTATGACCCGAGCCTGTATGTTTCTTGCCTTATGCCTTAACCCAAACATCCGAGTATACCTTGAAAGTCTCTAATTATTATTTATCTTCTCTCTGGTTTTATTTTTTCTTCCACATTTCCCCTTTCTTGGTTACTTTTAGAATGAGTGAAGTAGGCTGATGGAGACCTTAGTGGAAATACGCTTCTGTTCCTCAAGGCACTTATAATATTAGTTGTGAGATAAAAGTCCAGATCCTTAGAGTGACTTCCAAGGCCTTCCTGATATCTAATGTGCCTAATGCTTGCTCTTTGTCTATCAAGTATGCTATATAGATTTTGTTGTTTGTAGAGTCTGTCATGTTATAACTCAAACATTGCTGCATTGACTAGAAGACCTTTCCAACTTGTAAAGTTCTTATCCTCTTCCCAAGTCTCATGGCACAAGTCATATATTTTATTGATAATACGTTATTATTTTCTGGCTAGTTTACTTTCTCTTAGGACTGGGCTTTAGCTTGATCAATACATCACCAGGGCCTCCTTAGTAGGCATGTATTGTTTGTTTTGCTGGAGGTATTTGTCGGAGGTACAGACAATTGTTTTCTGTCTTCTTCTTGACATTGACTGTCTTTTCTGAAGGGGGAAAAAAACCTCTACTTGAATCAGAGTGCCAGAACAGTTCAAAGTTGGACTGAGGGAATGGGGATTTGACAGGGACCAAGCAGAAGAAATTGGAAGATTTGTAGCACTTAGAGGGATTTTTTTTTTAAGGGATAGTTGACATTCAGAAGCCATATAAGAACATTAGAAATAAAAATTAAATAGAATGATGTAATTACCTAAAAACTTATCTTGAGTACTCTCCTTTATAAGTTAATGTATAAATCTGGGTCTGTATTAATCTTGAGATAAGGTTTTAGTTGGTTTTCCAGGAAGCTTTTCAGGGAATTCTTGTCATAGGAATTCTCAAGAATGAGTGGATATCAAGAATGTAGTTCATATTAGTGAATATAATATTTTGCTGATTTAGGAAATTAAGAAAGAAACATTATTTTGAAGTTTTTCCATTTAGATTTGATCTTTTTCAGTTTTATATCAAATAGAAAAAATAGAATGACATACTCTTTTTTTTCTTAACCTGAATCTTTAAAGATGATAAAGGTTTTCTTCATTTTGAGGCCATCCAACTCCTTAACTTGAGTGTTTTATCTTTCTAGTTCTGAGCAGCTCACTGCAAATATATTTAATTACAAGTAGGCCACAGATAGTAAGAATGGTAGAAGCTTAGATGACTTGTCAAGGGATTACAGTAAGTTTCACCTCAAGTGCCTTTTCTGATTCTATCTTTGGTTAATCATTTTTACTGTTCAAAGAGGGAGTAGCAACCCACATTTGTTATATATTTCACATTCCCAGAACTAATGAACTAATGAACTCCCTCTTTGCTGGAGAAGGTACTGATTCCACAAAGAGGTTATGATAGCCTGAGTAAGGTTAATAGTACTTAGTGACTTGTAAGTTAACATTTCTTGCATTATATTGTGACAATATTTGTACACTGCTATTACATGTATGCAAGTTAGAAAAAGGGTAGAACGGGCTCGTTAACAAAATTAAACAATGTTACCAGTTAACAAAATTAAACAATGCTACCAGTATAGCTCTAAAGAAGAAAACATTTGAGAAGTGATTAGCTGGAGTGATAGCAGAGATAAAATACCATTATTAACTTTAATTTGTAGGTTTTTTTTCACAGAATTCCTATTAAAACTCACCTTATTCTATTAAGCAAAGCTTGCATTAAATAGTTAAATTTGGGGAATAACATTACTGGTTTAATGGTAGGTCATACTTTTCCCATGAAATAAGAAGAAATAACAGTGGAATAGTTATTGGTTTCTGATATGGTCTTTTTCAAGAAAAAAATGTTTGGAGTAAAAATGATATTGTAAAGGTTTCTTCCTAAGATTATTTTTATTGTGGTATAATTTACAAGAAATGCATAAACTTTACTAGAGTCAAGTGAAGTTTTTAGAGACAGTCTTGTTAAGTAGTCTAAGCTTGCCTTGAAATTGATCTTCCTGACTCAGTTCCAGAGTGGTAGGATTTACAGGTGTTCAACCTTACATCACACCTGAGCACCTGCACTAATAATTTTTACATAAGTATACTTTTGTAATCATTACCTCTTAGATCAAGACAACATTTCCTGCATTATAGAAGACTCACTCATTTCCTTTCTAAGTCATTAGTATCTCCAGTTCTCAAGGACTGCTGGTCTGACTTCTATTACTATAGATTAGTTTTGCCTAGTTTGAAACTTCACCTAAATTTAATCATAAGGTATGTATATTTTGTGTCTGGTTTCATTCACTCAACCTGAGATGTAAGAGGCTTATTCATATTGTTACCTGTATGAAAAATTGGTTGTTTTTTTATTACTATATAGTGTTTTGTTAAATGAATATATCACAGTTTACCCATCCCTCTGTCCTAGACATGGATTGTTTCCAGTTTTTGTCTTTAGTGAGTAAAATTTCTGTGAACATTCTTGATATAAACATTTAGTTCTGTTGCAGTAGTAAGAATGTTGGGTCATAGGGTGAAATGTTTTATTAGTTATACTAGGACTGCCAATTTTTTTCCCCCAAAGGGGGTTTTTTACTAATTTACACTAGTAGTGTAAGGCATAGTAACTTTTCTACACTTACAATGTGTCAACTATACTCCCTTTATCCTGTCCCTATCCTTCCTTCTTCTCAAAACATTTTCTTTTTTTTCTCTCTCTCTTTCTTTCTTTCTCTTTTTTCTTTTCTTTTCTTTTTCTTTCTTTCTCTTTTGTGCCTGCCTGCCTGCCTGCCTGCCTTCCTTCCTTCCTTCCTTCCTTCCTTCCTTCCTTCCTTCCTTCCTTCCTTCCTTCCTTCCTTCCTTCCTTCTTTCCTTCCTTATTTCTTTTGGGGGAGGGGTCAGTCATGGGGCTTGAACTCTGGGCCTGTGTCCTCAGCTCTTCAGCTCAAGTCTAGCACTCTACCACTTGAACCACAGGCCCACTTCCCTTAAAACATTTTCAACAGGTTTCATTGTTGTATTTTCATATCTGCAGACTACTTGCTTCCATCATGTCCAGCTTCTTTAATTTTCCTCTCTCCCTTTCTACCACCTTTAGTGGAGCCCATACCACTCTCCTGAACTTGGCTCTTTTAAGCTTCATTAATTCATTTAATTCCATATTTCTTTGACATTACAGAGTAATGAGTAGGTATGGCATCTCATTCTCCCAATATCAAACAAGAGACAGACTGAGAGGGTATAGGTTAGCAAAATAATATGTATGTGGGAAATAGTGTTTTTTTTTTTTTAATGTGGTAGAAAGTGTGCATGTGTGTGTTGGTGTATATGTACAATATTAAGAACAAAACTAGAAAAAAAAACAAATAACTATAGTTAGACAACAGACCTCCAGATGGTTTTACAGGTAGTGAGGAAGCCACAGATTGGATTTTTAAAAGAATAGTGGAATGACTGTTTCTTGTAAAAATTAACTATCTGGGTGTGTTAGAGGTTAGAGCAAGGAGGCACAAGGAGACCAATTTGGGACATAAAATGTAGACCAGGGGCAGGACCATCAGTTATACTTGTCTCTGGGTATCAGTAAGTTGTCTGAATTCTATGGTTTGTGCAACAGAAGTCCATTGTACATACTGTGAATGGGGTTATGCCACCCATCAGCCTTGTAACCAACAAAGATGAGGGCCCTGACTTTGAAGGTACTGAATACTTGGGAAAAAGAAAGACATTCGTACAACAGAATTGTGTAATTTACAGGATTATAGCCTCCTGGAGATGGAAGTTTTATAAAATAATGATTATAGATTCTTCTAGGCCTCCAATTAGATGATCTGATATGAGTGATTGAGTGATGGGCTTTTTTTTTTGCCATCTTATGTCTATTTTTCATATATTGCTTCATCCTTCTTTGATTCTGTATTAATCATCTCTCTAATTTGGACTTTGTAGTATGTTTTAGATTAGCCATTCAAACTTTTTAGAAGTATTTTGGAAACGAAGTAATTTTTCCTTTGGGATACATTGGACAAAGAGTATGTGGACTTTATACCGAAGTATAAGCATTTTTATATCTATCAGAAACACTCATTAATTTAATTTTGTAAATAAATTACCTTATGATATAGTATTTGCTGATTTGAGGTGCTGGGGATCAAACCCAGGCCAGGGCCTTTTGATGGGTCAGTGCTTTCTCACTGACCTATACCCTGCCCTTATAAAATGTTTCTGTAGTCATGGATTATACAGAGTGCTAGTTAAACTTTATTTTGGAAAATTTAAACGTATCTCCAAATAAAAATTAGTATTATGAACCCCAGTATATCTCTGTTATCAGCATCTTGTTTTATTTGTTTTTTTTTCTGGGTATATTCTTTCATCAGATACTTGACATATTTAGATAAGACTTAATTTTTTTTTTAACACAACTGCACTATCATATCAAACAATCATATATACAAATTTAGCAGTATCTGATAAAGTATGCAGTCTAGGTTCAGATTCCTTGGCTTTTTTTGAGGCCTTTTAATAGTGTGATTATTTGAATCAGGTTCTTATTTATTTATTTATTTAGTCAGTCAGTCGTGGGGCTTGAACTCTGGGCCTGTGCACTGTCCCTGTACTCCTCAGCTCAAGGCCAGTGCTCTACCTCTTGAGCCACGGTGCCACTTCTGGTTTTCTAGTGGTTTTTATTAGAGATCAGAGTCTCATGGACTTTTCTGCCTGGTCTGGCTTTGAACCATGATCCTCAGATCTCTGCCTTCTGAGTAGCTAAGATTACAGGTGTGAGCATCCTGCAGTCTTAGTTCTCTTCCCAGCCCAAGGTTGAGTATTTTTTAAAATAACAAAGCAGGGGCTGGGAAGGTGGCTCAGTGGTAGAGCGCTTGCCTTGCATGCATGAGCCCTAGGTTCAATTCCTTAGCACCACATAATCAAAAAGAAAAAAGCCGGAAGTGGTGCTGTGGCTCAAGTGGTAGAGCGCTAGCCTTGAGCTGAAGAGCTGAGGGACATGTCCAAACCCAGAGTTCAGGCCCCACGACCGGACCAAAAAATAAAAAAAATAAAAATAAAATAACAAAGCAGCCAGGCACTGGTGGCTCGTGCCTGTAATCCTAGCTACTCAGGAGGCTGAGATCTGAGGATCACAGTTCAAAGCCAGCTTGGGCAGGAAAGTCCGTGAGACTCATCTCCAATAAACCACTCAGAAAATGGGAAGTAGTGCTATGGCTCAAGTGGTAGAGCACATACCTTGAGCTGAAGAGCTGAGGGACAGTGCCCAGGCCCAGAGTTCAAGCCCCACGACTGACTAAATAAATAAATAATGTGAAGATGTTTTAGATGAAACTATTCTGAGAGTGATACTGTTTTGCCAGTCATTCTCTCTGTAATGTAGTTTTACTTTTTTGTATAAGATTATATTAAAGCAAAATGATGTTTATATTTTGTGCAGTTTTTGTTTTTACTGCTGTTTGCTTTTTTTTTGAGACAGGGTCTCAATAATCCTACTTTACCCTCCTGAGTGCTGAGATTACAGGTGAATGTCATTGGTTTTAATGTGAAAGTGGATGTGACTGCACTCATGAAGAAGCCTATAGTCAATGGGAGTTTGAACTGCTTTTTAGTTTTGAGCGAGATCACATCTCTGTAGAATCCCACATAGGATTTGGAGTGCTTAATCAACCACTTGGATGATGTTCTCTGGACTTTGCTTCCTCATCTGAAAACTATGGCGTGGGTGGGTTTTTCATAGTTTGGTGATTTTGTTTTAAAGTTCCTTTTGTGTGTTTTATTTTACGTGTATCCTGGATTTTAACAGGATTCTCAAAGTTGGATTGGTGGAACCAATGAACCATTGACTGGCTTTACATGGAGAGGTGGTTGTGAAAGAGAAACAACAGGCATACAAGTTTGGAATGAAGTATTTGTGATTGACAGACCTAATGGAACAAAAGTAAAATTCTATTTAAACTTTTCTATTTTTATCTTGTATTCTTTCTTGAGCTGTCTGTGGCATTAAAAATCAAAACAGCATGGAACTATTAATGTCTAATAACTTTAACATAGATTAGTGTGTAAAAATATAAAGGATATGAGTACTTTTCTTGACTTAATGATTGCTTCTGAAGTTTATCACTTAATGTGTGCTTTCAATGTACACTTTCTTGGTCATTTCTGATGATTATTTTACTAAGTATTTCAAACTTCTAAATTTCTAGGTGGCAGTGCTGCTAATGGATACCCAGGGTGCCTTTGATAGCCAGTCAACTATTAAAGACTGTGCAACCGTGTTTGCTCTGAGCACTATGACTAGCTCTGTCCAGGTGAGATTAAATCATGTGATCAGTTCAACATAGTCATAATACCTTTTCTAAAAATATCTTTTGATTGAAGAAAGATAAAAATTAACATGAAAAGAGAGCTATTTATTTCTGTTTTTTTTCTTTATATTTTCATGCTTTCTGTTCTGGTTCATAATTAGAAAATTTGTGTCTTAGATACAAAGGAAGAAGTAAACCAATAGTCCCTTTAGTTTTACACTGTCGATCCAGTACTTTTTTTTTCCTTAAAAGAAACAGTATTTGAGCTGGGTGCCCATGGCTTACACCTGTAATCCTAGCTACCCAGGAGGTTAAGATCTGTGCATTATGTTTCAAAGCCAGCCCGGGCAGAAAAGTCCATAAGACTCCTATGTCCAAGAAACTACTCAGGAAAAAACAGAAGTGTCACTGTAGCTCAAGTGGTTAGAGCACTAACCTTGAGCAAGAAGCTCAGAGACAGTGCCCAGGATGAGTTCAAGCCCCAGGACTGGAAAAAGAAAAACAAACAATATTTGTCCCATATGACTGTAATTAAAATCAGACATATGGCTGCCAGATACACTAAATTCAAAGTATAATTTTTGTTTTTGGCTAAACCCAACGAGAAAAGCAAGTAATTGAGTGAAGAAGCCCAGCTTTTCTATTGGATATCAATGATAATAGTTCTTTGTTATTTGATCTAAAGGAAGTAGAATTAATTAGCATTTAGGAAACTTAAGTGATACTTAAACTGAAGATATATAACACCTGTTTTGGTTTAAAAAGGGGTAAAATACTTTGTTTTTCACTTATACTCTGAATTCTATCCAGTTTTCTTCATGTTAGGCTAACTCTTCTTATGAATCAGACTGATTGTATTCATTTGACACCTATCCTTTTGCATTGCTTTATTATTTTTTTGCGATCATCTGTGGTTAATATATCTGGCTGAAATTATTAAAGAATAGTAGGATATCTTGTATGGACAGCAACTTTTAGGGCCATTTTCTTATCTATAAAATGAGATTTTCCTTATCTTTCCTTTTTCATATGTGGTGGTTGTGTGCAGTTAGAGGTGAGAGCTAAGTGAGGAGATTAAGATATCGCTTTCTTCTGAACCTTTGAGGTTAGTTTTCTTTATTTAAGATGGAGCTTCCCAGCTGGTGGTATTACATACTTGTAATCCAAGCACTTGGGAGACTAAAACAGGATTGTAAGATTGGAGCCAGCCTGAACTCTTAATTGTGAGAGCTATGGTCAAACCCTGTCACTATAATCTGTCTGTCTGTCTATCTCTCTGTCTCTGTCTGTCTCTCTACCTACCTACTTACCTATCTCTATATATCTATATTGATATATATGAATGATTGTTGATAACGTTGTGTCACTTATTTTTTTTCAACAATTTTTAGCACTTATTAAAGTATAAGGCAGCCTGCTGAGTACTAATGTTTGTATTTTTGCATCTTAGCCTTGAGGGGATTTGGACTCCTCCCCCTCTTCATCCCCTAGTACTGAGAATTGAATCCAGGCTTCATACTTATATACAAGTGCTCCTAGCTTCTAGATCTGTTTTCTGAAAGCTTAGGCCCACATGGGTAAAAATAGGTTCATGATGTAGTTTTAAATTTAAATCTTAAGTTTAACCTCAGCATTCATTAATTACCTTTTAGATAGATACCCTGTTTGGAAGTCATCAGTGACCAAACAGAGCATTTTACTATTCTTAACCTCCAGGCTCATCTATATATTATCAGTTACTTTTTTTAGAACAAATTGCTCTCTCTTTGAAATAACACTATTTACCTAGAAATAAGTTATATAGGCAATTATTGTATGTATCCACTTTTATTCTTAAGCAGCCTAGATTCTCTTCTAAGAATTTCAGAAGGACTTAATCTAAAATCTAATTTCTCTTTTGTATACTTAACCTCTATTATCAGTTTATCTGTATGCTTTGGAAAAGCCTCCAAAAAAATTGGAGGACAATAGTGCCACCTACTGTTATTAGTTTTCACATGCTCGTAAAAAGGACTAGGCATGGTTCTGTGGCAGAATGCCTGCTTATTGAAAAGTGTGAGTCCTGAGTTCAAAATCCATTACTGCAAAACAAGTAACAGAAGTTGGATGTGGTGGCACATCTGTAATTCCATCACTGAGGAGGTCAGTCTGGGTTATAATAGTGAGACCCTGTCTCTCAAGCATCAACAAAATAAAAAAGACAACTACATTATAGTAAATGATAGTTACAGTTCTGAATGACTGTAAATTGTATTAGTGAGAAATTTATTATTGTAGACATTTTGTTCTTATTTACTAATTTAGAAGATGTTTGTGGAAACAACTCATTTTTGTTTTCTTAAATGATTATGACATAGCATTGAAAACACTTTAGAAGGAGAAAAAGAAACATTAAATAATATGCTTTTATTATACTTTTTTGTGTATGGCTACAACTTTTAGGCCATGGATATAGATATATTCTTAATTCTTAATGTTTTACATTGACTTAGCAAAAAGAGAAAATGCTTCCTATGTACCACTGGTTAAGATAGTGGCTAGATGACTAATTTGTGCTAAGGTGTAAAATACCTTTTATTTTCACAAAGGAAATTATATTTAAGCTGTGTATTCAAAATCTAATCTGATGAAAACAAAATGAATTGTGTTTCAACAGGTATATAATTTGTCTCAGAATATTCAAGAAGATGATCTTCAACACTTGCAAGTATGTTTGTCACAAAAATATATGTAAAAGTATTAAAATTTAATTATGGTTTCATTGTAAATTCATACTCAGCAGATTATTGAATGTTATATGGTTTTAAATTAATACGTAATTTCTTAACCTGAGGAAATTTTGTTACATAATTGAAGTATTGGAAAATGAATGGTATGGTTTTCAAATAGCATTAAAGAATGACATCTGGTGCTATAATATAGAGCAGCTATACAGATGTCTTCTTTGTTTCTCTGGGGGCATTATTTTAAATAACTTGATTTAATAGTTATTTACAGAGTATGGAAGACTTGCAATGGAAGAAATCTACCAGAAACCCTTTCAGGTATGTGTTTTATCATTTAAAAATGTTACGAGAACTCTTAAGCTATCCAGCTTGTAGGTTTGGAGGTGCAAAATGTTAACTCATTTTTAGCACCAGTTTCATGGAGTTCAAACTAACCATTTGTTACTGTCATCACCAGTTTACTACAAGTAGAAGTTCAGCAAAATCAGAACTAAAACAAATGAATCCAGATTGATTAGGGGTAGTGAGATTTTATTTAATTCCAAAATGTAAGATTGTAAAGAATTTATGACAGTTACTACAGAACGTTACAGGTTTCTTTTTTCTACCTATTACAAAAAGAGGTCTGTTACTTATTTTGGTTTCAGATGAGAAAGTTCCAGGTAGTTTAGTTTTGAAGTGTATATAATCTGCAAGTTGCCATGGGTACAGATGTTTGCTCATCAGTAAAGTTCTCTCTGTATGACAGCATTGTTAGTTGCTAGCGTTAGTGGATTTCCATTGATTCTGCCTCTTGTGTGGATGTTCTGGTCCAAATGATCACGTTTATCAAATAGGTGAGTGGTTTATGGCTGTACCCAGCACAATTTCTGTAACTTTTGATAAGGATTGTTTGGTTTTGGGGGATAGTGTACCATAAAGTAATGATTTGTCTTAAGATTTTAATATGAAAATGATTTATATTTTTTCTGTGTGCAGACGTTAATGTTTTTGATTCGAGATTGGAGTTATCCTTATGAACATTCATATGGCTTAGAAGGTGGAAAACAATTCCTTGAAAAGAGATTGCAGGTAAACCCATTTTCTAGAGATTTGAGTATACACATCAAGCCAGGCAAAGGGCTTGGCTGCCTGGATTGTGCTTATATTACCAGTTACTATCATTCAAATCAATTAAGTATTCTAGATTAGCCTAGGTACTACATAACTGATGAAAAGGAAATTGGTTATGCAACTGCTAAAGAAGATAATGCTCTCAAAATTTAGGAGTAAGTATTTCAAAACTCCCTCAGTAATAAGTATTAAAAAGATACTTTTATTTACAAAAATGCTTTTGAAGAAACACTAAAGTATTAAAAAATACTCTTGAAGAAGATTAAATTCTTTCATCTCTACTTGATTGCGTCCAGTTCTCTGGCTGTTGAACTTGTGAATATTTTGGACAGACTGATTAATATGCAGACATAGAACACATATGAAATGAGGCCCTCTGTCAAAGGATAGTTATTTCTGGAACAGTGACAGTACATAGAGCTAAAAAAATGATCTTGAATATTATTTAGTTTGTCCTTTTTATTTTTATATGAAACTAGGACACCGAAAACTGAGTTCTCTTTGATCTCTTAACTAACTTTGGTCTCTTATTGGTAATTGAGACCAGGACTCCAATATCCTCCTGTGCAATATGCCACTCAGACATTCCTAGAAAATAATCTCACCAAGATTATGATCCTTTACCCCTAATGGGAATACTTGGAAAACTTGCCATTCAGATACTTACAGACTATTATTCATAACAAAAAAAGATAGGAGATCCCTTTCCTCATGTAGTAGGCTACAGAGATTGGTTTTTCAGTCACATTCAAAGACTTTGGGTAACAATGTGATTTTCTTGTCCATGGCCATATAGGCTTTGTTTTTGTACTCATATGAATATTCAGAATTGCTTATAGAATTATTCTTTTATGCCTAGTCTTTTTTGTCTAGTATTTTTTCTGAGATTAAACCACATTGTTGCACATAGTTTATTGTTCATTTATTCTTACTATTACACAGTATTTCACTGAATGGATGACTTTTTCCATTCTGTGATGGAGATTTTCCACCCTCCCATTCTACCCTGGATATTTAGGTCATTTTAAGGCTTTAATTATGAATAGCACATGTTTTGTTAGAATGGCTTTTGAGAAGAATCTTTGGAATGTAGAATGTGTGAAATATATCTAGATAAACTAGTAATTACTCACAGTGTTTCTGAGGTTAAGCTTTTTTTCCAGAGAAAACACTGATAATTTTGCAGAGAGCCCTGGATTCCTAATTTCTAAGATTATCTAAACTCTACCAAAGCTTTTTGAAACTTAGTTCTTATTTTTTCAGGGGCTTGTCTTTTTATTTGTCGGTAAATTAGTATTTAGATTTTAAGTGTCTTTTTGTTTATTTTGACATTTAAATATTCAAAAACAAGTTCTTTACTGGTTTATAAGTCATAACCAGAATCTATTATTTAGACATTAGATACTATAATTATTATTTGTATTTTTTGATATGTCAGGCAGCTTAGAAAAAGAAATACCTTTTTTATTTTACCAGAGTGTTCAGAAATAGGAAACCTGGAGTATAACTCAAGGGGTGGATCACCAGTGTTAGTGAAAATGTCAAGTCAGAGCACAGGCCCTGAGTTCAGGCTCTAGTCTGACACACACAAAATAAATAGCTGTTTAAGTTATTGCTATTTATAGTGTATTGGATTTGAACTCTGGGCTTTGCTGGTCTAGACAGTGTTATGTCACTTGAACCACATCCTCACCTCATTTTTGTTTAGTTATTTTTCAGGCAGGGTCTTGAACTTTTGCTCTGGGCTATTGTTAGCCTTTGATCCTCTTCCCTATAGCTCTTTGCATAAGTGGGACTATAGGAATGTTCCACCAAGACTAATTGAGATCAGGGTCTTTCTGACTTTTGGCCTTGAACTGTGATCTTTGTGTATCCACTGTTTTTTTTTTGTTTGCTTGTTTGTTTCGTTTTTTTTGTCGGACGTGAGGCTTGAACTCTAAGCTTGAGCACTATCCCTGGGCTCTTTAGCTCAAGGTGAGCACTCTGCCGCTTGAGTCACGGCACCACTTCTGGTTTTGTAGTGGTTTATTGAAGATAAGAGTCTCATGGACTTTTCTGCCTGGGCTGGCTTTGAACTGTGATCCTCAGATCTCAGCCTCCTGAGTAGCTAGGATTACAGGTGTGAGCCACTGGTGCCCAGCTGTATCCACTTCTTGAGTAGCAGAGATTATAGGCCTGAGCCACTGCACCAGGTCTTAGACATTTAGTAATTTGTTTTGCCAATGAACTCTTCTCTGGTGTAGCATCTGAGTTGAGAGTACATGTGTGTAAGTATGCTGTGTAACTCCCTTTTCAAAGTTAATTTTTTTTCTTCCATTTACTATTCTATTTCTTTCTGTCTTCAGGTAAAACAAAATCAACATGAAGAGCTACAGAATGTAAGGAAGCACATTCACAATTGTTTCTCAAATCTGGGTTGCTTCCTTTTGCCACATCCTGGTCTTAAAGTTGCAACTAATCCTAGTTTTGATGGGAGATTGAAAGGTGGGAATTCCCATTCTTGATAAACTCAGAACTTGCTTTTTTAGAGGATGAAATTTTTAAAAAATATGATTTCTTAAACTTCCTGTCTTATGGTGGGAGGACCTTGATAATAAAGTGGATTATAATGCTCTGTGTTATCTCTAACTTTTCATTGGTTTCTTTGCTACAGTTTTGCATATTGCTTACACCATTTTACCATTTTGTTTTGTTTATTTTGGCATTCTGGTACTTAAATTCAGGGTTTGCTAAACAGGCCTCTGTCACTTGCTTTAGTTTTAGGATAGGTTTTTGTATTTTTGCCTGGGTTCTAGCCTTGGACTGTGAACCTCCTATGTATGTTTCTTATGTAGCTGAGATTATAGTCTTGCCTTATCACTCCCACTTTATTGGTTGAGATGAAGTCTTACTTTGAATCAGTTTTCTTATTTCCTCCTTCCAAATAACTGGGATTACAAGTTTGTACCACTTAGTCCATTTTATCATGTGAGCTGCTCAGGACTGATATCCTGAATATTGTGAAGACTAAGAATGTTTCTTTTTAACAATCTGGTTGCTGTCTGCAAAAAGCCTACCATTTATTGTATTGATGGAATCAGATTTAAGTTGTGTTTATTTTAGGATTATTTTGAGTGTGGTCACAAAAGATTTGAGTTTGACAAAACTTTTACAGATGGCTAGAAAAAAATCTGTATAAAATTAAATAATGCATGTCTTTTGTAAGTTAATAGTTATTATGGGGGTTGTTTTGGTAGTTTGCAGTTTGAGGCAGAAGAATTATGGAAGGATGGGAAACTAGGGTAACTTAGTAGTGGGAATTAGATTTTTTTCCTAGGAGATATACCTTACTTAAGTATACTTAAAATGGCTTTATTTAAATAATTGATGTACTCTTATTTCATAGAATAGAACTTTATGAATGTTATCATTAAGATGTTTTTCACTCTTATTTTTTGAACTAATGTGTTCAACCAATTTCATATCCACCAGATATTGATGAAGACTTTAAAAGAGAGCTTCGAAACCTGGTTCCATTGCTCCTTGCTCCTGAAAACTTAGTAGAAAAAGAGATAAGTGGATCTAAAGTCACTTGTAGAGATCTTGTAGAATATTTTAAGGTAGGTAAACTCTTAAAGAAAATGATTTTGAGATATAAATGCAGTTTCTTATCTTTATTTTAAAACCAAAATTTTCTGTCTTAAATTAGATGAATCAACATTTAGAGATACTTAAAATATTGTAGTAGCCAAGGAGCAGTGACTTACACCTATAGCATGACTGCTTAGCAGCCTGAGATCTGAGTATCTTAGTCACAAGCAGCATGGACAAATCCTGGAGATTCTTAAATATCCAATTAAAGAACAAAAAGATGAAAGTGGAAGCCTGCCTCAAGTGGCAGAGCACAGCAAGAGTGGGAGGCCCTGAGTTCAAGCATACAGACAAAAACAATAGTGACATATGTTCACAGAACTTCCCACCTTGGTCTTTCTCTCTCTGATGTAGAGAGGAGAGCCATTCACTCTCATTTGTGAGTGCAAATAGAAACTAGAAACATAACTCAGCATGCTAAGTTCTCACAAAAGCCTTCCCTTAGTTCTGAGAACTTGATAAGAATAGCTGAAAGTATCTATACTGGTTTTGTATTTCAAGTAAATTATTCATGGACCCACATGCCTTCTTACTTAGCCTTTATAGTTGACCTGCTAGGGTTGTAAGGAAATTCAGTTGTGAGGAACAGAGAAGCCACCACGTAAAAGGCCAAATGAAGAGTGTTTATTGGAGAGCTGGAGAACTGCTGGTGGACTCTGGTCTCAAAGACCAGCAGCCCCGAATGCAGTCAGCACAAAGCTTAGATAGGCCCAAACCACACAAGGCGGCGTGTGGAATCAAACCCAACAAAAGCGTTATATATGAGCAAAGCAAACCAGATGAGGTTTAAACCTAATAGAAAAGCAAATCATCTAGGGAAACAATCAGGGGAAATCAAGGGCCAATAATCTAGGGGAAGCATAGACCCAGTCTCCTTACTTCACTAGAACAGATTGTAGAGGGTTGTATTCTTTTGTGTGTGCCACTACTGGGGCTTGAACTGAGGGCCTCACACTCTTGATTAGATCAAAGCTAGTGCTCTACCACTCGAGCCACACTTCCATTTTGGTGGTGTGGGTAATTGGAGATAAGAGGCTCTCAGATTTGGCTTGTCCATGCTGGCTTTGAACCTTGATCCTTAGGTCTCAGCCTCTTAATTAGTTGAGATTACAGGTGTGAGCCACCAGCATCTGGCTGAGGTATAGTATATAATATATACAATATAGAATATATATACCTATATATAGATTTTATATATATATAGTATAGTATATAGATGAAAAGGAAATTAGTTAATTAAAAATGTTACTTCTGCTTTGATCACTTTGCTTTTTTGCTTGGTTATGAATTAATGGTTAGTTATGAATTATGATATTTGCTTAGTTATAAATTAATCTTGAGTTACACAAAGTGGAGACAAAAGATGCCTATGTTGACTTCTAAAACCTATCCTTTTCTTCCTACAATTTACCTATTTGATAGTATTGAGGATAGGATTAACCTTATAGACAGAGCACATATGTTTAAAACCTAGAATTTCCTTTTAAATTGTATATCCCACTAAAATGAATCTTCTGTCCTTTTAGGCTTACATTAAAATATATCAAGGTGAGGAACTTCCACATCCAAAGTCCATGCTTCAGGTATGAGGACAAGAAGAGATGTGAATACACTTAAGTGGGCAAACAAAATTTTTTGCTTTAATTAGAAACATCGGTAAAAAGGGGATATGTACTTTTTTTGCATACAAATACATTTTATCTATTTAAGGCAATCTTTGTATGAATTCTGAAAATTGTATATGATTTATTTTGTAACTTCAGAGTGTAGATCTTGAGTATGTACAGGCTGCTAGAAATCGAGAGTCCTTGGTACTTCCTCTTTAGATGCTCAAAGTATAAGGAAATTTTTATTATCTAAGATGGCTTAATGTGGGCTTTGAATTAAGCTGCTTCTGTTCTCTGAGTCTTTGACAATAAATGTTGTTCAAAATATAAGGCTTATAGCCTGCACCAGTGGTTCATGCCTACAATCCTAGCTGTTCAGGAGACAAGGGTGGTTTGAAATCAGTCCAGGCAGGAGAGGCTGTGAGACTTTATCTCCAATTAACTACCAAAAAGCTGAAAGTGGAGCTGTGGTTCAAGTGGTAGAGCACTAGCCTTGAGCAAAACTGCTGAAGGATAATGCCCATGCCATGAGTTCAAGCCCCAGCGCTGGCACCAAAAAAAAAAAAAAAAAAGTAAACTAATGCTTTTTTTTAAAAAAAAATTGGATATTAACAATTTGTTCTGTTGGTAGTGAATAAATATAGACTTCTTTTTAATTTCATTTTTTTGCAGTACTAGAGCTTGAACTCAGCTTTGTGCCAACCCTTCCTGCCCCAGTTATTTTTGAGATAGGTCTTGCTTTGTTCCTGAGCCAGCCTGGCAGTCATCTTCCTATTTATGCTTCCTGCTGTGCAAAGCTGGGATCACAGGTCTGAATCACCATGCTCAACACTTTCTTTTGAGATGAGATTGCATGAACTTTTTTGCCTGGGTTGTCCTAGAACCATGAGCCCCAGTTTCAGCTTCCCATATAGCTATATAGCCAGGATTATAGCACATACCACTGTATCTAGCAATTTACTGAGATGGGATTTTGTGTACTTTTTAAGTAGGCTGGACTCAAACCATGATCCTCCTGATTTTAGTCTCTGGAGTAGCTAGGATTACAGTGCCTGGCTTCTGTTTTTTTTTTTTTTTTTTTGCCCCAATACTGAAGTTTGAACTTCCAGTACTGGAGAAGATCTTGCTTTCCAGATAGGTGCTCTACTGCTAAATCTACACCTCCAGCTCCATGCTTTATAATTCTTTTTTTTTTTTAAATAATGTTCTTTTGGGACACTGTTTTTGTAATTAATTTTTACTTGTGAAAATTGACTATTTGGGGCAATTTCTCAGTTTCATGCTGGGTTAAACAGTATTTTCTGATAAAACTCAGTGTGACAACTGGCTTTATGTACTTGAGAATGACTCAGATTCACAGAAATGAGAACTGTATTTGATCTTATGATGTTAACAACTGTGAACTAGGAATTCTTGATTCCTTACACATAGAGGCCTGACACATTGTAGGGTTCTGTCTACATGAGTAACTAGTATATTCTACAAGTCCATTTAAACATAAACCTAAGCAATACACAATTGGGTAGGAAGTTCTATTAGAAGTCTGTATCATATCTTTTATATATCTTCCCACAAGAAAGGAACTAGATGTTGATATTTTCTGAATTCTTCATTATTTATAGTTTACTGTGTTTGGAATTTCTAGTCATAGAGCTTTTTTTGCATACATTAATGGCACATATAATTTTATGTTTTAGGCAACAGCTGAGGCGAATAATCTTGCTGCAGTAGCAGGAGCAAGAGATATTTATTGTAAAAATATGGAACAGGTTTGTAACTAAAATTTAAACTTGATGCTAGAGAAAGATAGGAGATTTTTATGTTTAAAGTAATTGAGCTAATTTGTGGTCTTTATATATTGTCATACTGTATCATTATATAATTCCCCTTTATGGTCTCTGCTAGAAATAAACTATAAGAAAATAATTGGTGTGGTTTGAATGCAGAATTCAGGTGACAAGTGACTACATAAATTCAACTGAAGTGTTTTCTGACTTGTAATTCAGAGTGCTGTTATTCGTAATCTGTGATGGAAACAATATTAGGCAATAGTAGTTTCTGCATTAAGCTTGTTAAACTAGTGAAGTATTGATCTCTGTGGTACTATTACTTCTGCATTCTCTTCATAGCATTTATTTTGTACTATTATGGTGTGTTGGTGGGGCCAAATGAAGTTAGGTTGATGGTAGTGTATTTTATTTTTTGTTTCCAGTTTTAGTTGTCTTAGTCATAATAGTCTTAGTCTATTGAGTCAGACATGGAAGAAATAGCAGGTTTTAATGTTTTGTGAAGTATTATAAATAACTTCAAAACTAAACCATGTAAGTGATTTGATTTTCAGAGATTAATATCTATGAGCAGGGAGCTTCTTTTAAATGTTATTTCTAGCATGTAATAATCTCTTCCTACAATTCTGCCCTTATAGGTATGCGGTGGGGACAAGCCTTACATTGCACCTTCAGATCTGGAGCGAAAACATCTTGATTTCAAGGAAGTGGCCCTTAAACAGTTTCGTTCTGTGAAAAAAATGGGTGGAGATGAGTTCTGCCGTCGTTATCAGGACCAGCTTGAAGCTGAAATTGAAGAAACCTATGCAAATTTTATAAAGCACAACGATGGCAAAAATATCTTCTATGCTGCTCGTACTCCTGCCACGCTGTTTGCAGTCATGTTTGCTATGTACATAATCTCAGGACTGACTGGCTTCATTGGCCTAAACTCTATAGCCGTCTTATGTAACCTTGTCATGGGATTAGCACTGACATCCCTTTGTACTTGGGCATATGTTAAATACTCTGGGGAGTTCAGAGAAATTGGAACAATGATTGATCAGATTGCTGAAACACTATGGGAACAGGTTGGTATCTCTGTTTTGGTTTTTCAGTGACTAATCTTATTTTCCCCTCTTACCTACTAACCTCTCCAGTGTTTGCACACCTATTTTTTTCCTTTATTAAAAAATGACCAAACAATGCTTTGTTTGGATGTAGAATCTCTATTAACTGAAGATTTATTTTTCTTTAAATTTGTAATTATTTATAGGCCTGGCTATATCATCAAGACAGTAGGGGCAGGGCCAACGTCTCTGATTTTTTTGTTTGTTTATTTGAGAAAAGAAAATATCCATAAGCAGGTTTTTTTTTTTTGTTTTTTGTTTTTGTTTTTGTTTTTGGTTGTTCATGGGGCTTGGACTCTGGGCCTGGGTGCTGTCCTTGAGCTCTTCAGCTCAAAGCTAGTGCTCTATCACTTTGAGCCATGTTGGTTTTCTGGTGGTTAATTGGAGATGAAAGTCTCACAGACTTTCTTGCCTAGGCTGGCTTTGAACTGCAATCCTCAGATCTCAGCCGCCTGAGTAGCTATGATTACTGGCATGAGCCACCAGTGCCCAGCTTCCATAGCAGTTTTAAAGGTAAAGAAAAGACGTTTAGAAGCACAGTCAGTGTAAGTTGTTAACAATATTGGCAGATTGCCTTCTTATGAAGGTAGTACTAAGTTGCTGATATGCTTCAAGGTGGCTCCCACATAGATTTCTTTCTAAAGAAATTTTGACATCTGTGCCTTGGAAATACTAATAAACAAAACAAAACATCATGAGCCATGAGCAAAGAAACCAACTTCAATCATAATTCTTTTTTTTTTTTGGTGGGGGTGGGGGGTTCGGTCATGGGCCTGAACTCTGGGCCTGGGCACTGTCCCTCAGCTCTTCAGCTCAAGGCTAGCGCCCTACCACTTGGGTCACAGTGCCACTTCCAGCTTTTTGCTTTATGTGGTGCTGAGGAATCGAACCCAGGGCCTCATGCAAGGCAAGCACTCTACCACTGAGCCACCTTCCCAGCCCCTCAATCATAATTCTTTACCGTAAGCAGAATTCAAAGTCAGGCTGTGAACTCTTGTCCTGAAAGTATAAAGTCTGTATTAGAATTGCTAGTATACAGGTATGAATATTATTAAAACCATCATAATGAAAGTATCTGAACATCATCTCAAGGACCATAATGAATGCTGAAGTAATTACTGATGAACAATGTAATATTATAGACATTTTCAGATCCTATTTCTGGGCCAGTGAGGTATTGAAGTGAAGTATTTAGGATACTTGGGTTCATGTTTGCTTCTGCTTAAAATTCAAAGGCTGAAGAGGTAGAACATGTTTTAAAGAAAATTGATAGGATGCTGACCTTTCTTGTAATAATGCTTACATTAAGACATTGTAAAGTTACCCACTATGTTAATTTGGATTTTCTTTTTTTTCCTCTTTGGAGATGTGCTGTTATTTATTAAGATTCTAATTTGGAAATTTGTATTTGGATATTCATTAAGTTTAAATTTCTATCTTTTATAAACATCACTATTTCACAATCTTTTTTGCTATCTTCAGTAGAAGATAGATTAAACTCTGTCACCACTTTACCTTTTTTAAAAAAAACATGATCTACTTTGAAATTTTGAATGATTACTGACTTTTCTTCAATAAGAACTTCAGTAATTGTAGTGTTTTCTTCTAAAACTCATCTGTTCAGCATTGATTTTAAGATTTATAAAACAGTTATATGGAACCATTTCAGGTGTGTAAAATTATTTTCATACAGCACAGTGAGGGTAAGGTGATCATTACCCAGGGAAGATATGTGCTGTGTCATCAAACTTTGTCTAAATTTCTTTGCATTTCTCTTTTCTTTTGCTTCAGAGGAGTCCCAGGAAGGTGAGAAACCTACCAAGTCTCAAATTTTTATAGTCTTAAACTCTAGCTTCAAGGCACTCTGAGTCATTCTCCTAACAAATCACTCCATGTTTTAGGTCTTTTCCAAACTGTTTGAAGTTACTAGACGTCGAATGGCTCATCGTGCTCTTTCATCAGCACAGCGTCAGAGACTGTCATCCAACAATAACAAGAAGAAAAATTAGACAGTATTTTTAACTTTTTTCTCTATCTGAAGTGTTCACACTTATACATGTAGGACAATAAGCAGGACCGTCTGGGCCGGTCTGCCTAAATGCTGTATACATACCAGATTTGATGCTGCATATAGGGTATGGAATTGCACATCCATCTCATAGGATTTGAATGGTTTGAATGAGAGGAAAGTAATTTTGTTGCATTATAAAATGTCTATCTACATTATTTGTAGCATTGTAACTTTTTTTTTGGGAGAAGCATCTTTTTATTTCTCACATTCCTGGTTATTTTTATCATTGCTTTGAATTGAATTTTTATATCTATTTTTATATGTAACTCTTTTTTTACCTCATGTTTTTGTTTGTTTTGCACATTTCTCATACCACAGGTATTGAAGCCCCTGGGTGATAATTTGATGGAGGAAAACATAAGGCAGTCTGTAACAAACTCTATCAAGGCAGGCCTGACTGACCAAGTGTCTCATCATGCCCGATTAAAGACAGACTGACAGTTCATCTCCTCATGGACTCCACTCTCCCTTTTTCATGCTTGCTGTACAATGAGAACTCAAATAAAAATAAACCAAAGTTTACAATCAACTGTAGAAGTAGTTTAGTATAACTGGCTTCACAGATGGCTGCCACAGAGTGTGAAAATTGTTTGTTGGTTTTGAGCATTCTTTTAATGGCTCCTTACACCTGGAAATTGGATAAGGAGCATTAGTTTATCATGCACATTGTGCCATGTTGAATTCTTTTTCTTTTTAGTCAATCTAATGTTAGTGAAATTTGTCTTATGTAAAAGGATATTTCAGGGAACTATTTTAAGAAATCTATTTAGAGTCTCTAACATAATGACCCATTGAAATTTTAATTTTTAGAGAATCTATGAATCATTGTATCAAGAATCAGATTGGAATGACAATGAAGCCTTTATTGAGCCACTACATTAAAAGTATATATTGCTTTACTGCCTTCAATACCAGTATTACATAAATGCATGTACCAGAAACGTCACGAAAATTACATGACAACTCTTGTAGCTAAGAAAGTAATTTTGAGGTGTACATTTGTCTTGCCTTTTTAAATTTGTAAACCAGCCCTAAAAAATGCATATCTGGGAAACTGAACTGTCTTTTTGCAGTTTAGCCTTCATGTACATAAAATATGCCATTAATTTTATTGGGGGAAAAGATTCCATCCAAAAATGTTGCCTACAGCTATGAGTTAAGAGTGTCTGTACTGTACAGCGTGTAGCTTTTATTTTCTAAAATCACAGATAGGGCATGTATATGAATTATAAATATATAAATACAATTTTGTATTAAAAGTTTTGTAGTTTATGGCAAAATCTGGTTCTGTGGTAGGCTAATAAGTACAGTCCCTGTGAAAGGAATGTTTGTGGCTCATGTCAGTGTGTGAATGCATAGACAATTTAAAGTTTTGATATATTTGTGATATTTATCTTCTTTGAGCACTGCAATCTCACACCCCCCACCCCCAAGGGAATTCAATGGGAATGTTTATTGTGACTTGTCCTCTGTTGCATTTTAAAGTTATTTCCTGTAATTTATTTTCAGTACATAATTAAAAATTTGTTGTATATATAAAATGAAACTTGTGATTCTTTTTTAAGGAATTCTTCAAATATGTATTCCACTACATAAACCATATTTGTTTATACTGAAAAGAGCATGAGCAGGAAACACTCAAGTTGAGAGCTCTAAGGTATTGTATCTCAAAACTAAACTTGTAAAACTAAGCTTATTTTTCTGTGTCGTCTTGTGAGAAGCCTGGTGCAGCTTGGGGTTTGTTAATTCTCATTAATTCATCCTCCCTCTCTCCTTCCCACCCTCCCTCCCTCCCTCCCTCCCTCTCTCTCTCTCTCTCTCTCTCTCTCTCTCTCTCTCTCTCTCTCTCTCTCTCTTTCTGTCTCTCCCTCTCCTCCCCCCTTCTCTCTTTCCTTCCCTCCCACCTTCTCCCCTTCGCCCTCCAATTGTCTCTTTCCTTCTCTTTTCTCCTTCCCTACTCTCCCTTAACTCTCTTTTCCCCATCCTATTTCCCTCCTGTTGTATGTGTTAAATGTGAAGCTAAAATTTCTTTAATATATTTATAGTATTCTTTGCAAACACCTATTAAAGCACCTAGTTTGATTTTAAGTGAAAATTCAGATGTTGAGTTACGTGCATGAAAAGTCTAAATGTGTTTTGGTTGATATTTCTTCTTTCTCACCCCATTTGAATCCTGTTTTTATATGGATTGTATTTGTTTCCATCTGTATTAAATTGCTGCCTAATCATTTGTTCTTAAACCTAAAAGAATCCACTTGAAATGTCTCTTTATTTCTTCTACCACCCTGTTTTATGAATGCTGTGGACTGTTTTTAATGAGTGAATAAAATAAAAAGTTTGTTGTATAATAGCAATTGTTCTGAAATTAAAGAATTTCACAGCTTACCTTTTAAGAAATTATGAAATAATAGTCTGTTGGGTCCTTAGCATTTCTGGTTAAATTAGTGTTTTTCCTAAGAAAGCACATTAGTTTTAGATAAATTTGAAACATTGTTAAACAAGAAGCAGTAAAAGGGATTAAAGACAGAACTTGACTGAAGAAACAACTTTGATGTTAATATATTTTCTGTGGTATATTTTAAAATCTCATACAAAGTTTTTTTTTTTTTTTAAACAAGATTTTTGCAGTGAAAATGCTCCTACTTAATTAAGACACAAATAATGTACTTTTCAGTGCAAGGGGCAATTATTATGTGATCCTGCTGTTGAGTATACAAAATATTTTTCATTGCTCACTAAGGTAGATTGCTACTCATTGTTGGCTTCAGTGAAAATACTCTAGTTGTAAAATTAACAAAATTTCATTTTTTTTTCTGTACTAGGGTTGAACTTGTGCTTGCTAAGTAGGTGATCTGCCACTTGAGCCACATACTCAGTGTCAATGTTTCACCTTTGAACGCTGTGTTTTCAAACTGTGTTGAGTTTTGTTTTACTTAAAGAATTGAGCTGTGTAGAGACTTCAAGAAGTAGTTGTTTTAGTCCTGTAGCTAGATAATAACCATTATTAGTGTATAGTTTGCATATGTGTTGTACATGTTTAGCCTTCAGCCTGAAAACTCCTGGCCTGAATCTCTCAGCTAACTGGACCAGAATTAGTGTGCACACCTAAGTATCTGGACAGATACATTCATTCTTGTTTAGTTGGTGGGGGTGATGAAATCATATTGGAGAGCTGGCGGCTATGTTCCGGCAGCCATCTTTTTTGCCCAGAGTTTACAAATCAAATGACTGTCTTGCCTGGTTTCTATCTAGAGCTCCTGCCATAGAGAAAACTTGACACTGGAGAGTTTTTTAGTTTGTTGGCTGCTGGCCACACAAAACCAAATTATGCCTCTCAAAGCACAGAGTTGTCAGCTTCTGTATTTATTCTACTGAATCTTAGGAACTTCTCTTTCAGCTTAGCCTTTTGCTGGAGTGTACGCCTGAGAAGTGCTCACCATTACTGCACCGAAGTACAACTTGTATGTGCTTTTAGCTTTATGAAGTTGGACGTTATCTGTTTGTTTATTTGCCCTTTGCATTTGTTACTGTTAGCTCAAATTGTTAAGGTGGGGATTTCATTGTTCAATTTACACGTTTCCAATATGTTAAAATCAGTCTCATCCTTTTGTATCACTCTACCTTCCTCTTTTCCCTCCTTCCTCCCTTGCCTTGAACAAATTTTAAACGGGTTTTCTTGTTCAGTTTTCTTAGTCGCAAGAGTTCATAGTTGCATAGTTTGTTTTCGTAGTTTGTCTCTTTACAGCCAGTGATCGCAGTGGACCAGGTCAAAAGTACCTAAAGATATAAGAAAGCTTAGGGAATGGAAGTACTGCAGTCTCTAGCTCAAATAATTCTACATATTTATTTCTACTTTTCATACTAAAGACAGTCTTATACAAGAAGAAATCAAAATAAGAATCTCAGCTGGACATAAAAAAGTGGTTTATACCTGTGATCTTAAGTTTGAGGCCAGCATGGGTTGTATGAAACATTAAGAAAAAAGTCTAGATATCTCAGACTGCAAATGTAGGGCTCAAGTACACACCTCTGGAAGCTTGCGTAAATACGAAGCTGCAGACAGACCATCTGTACATCAAGATGCAGACAGTTTGGCATTCTGAAAAACATTAAAACGAACAGATTTTGCTAATACTGAAGCAAAGCAAAAATTACCCATAATATTACCACTTCAAAAAATAGGAGTCAGTGGGGCATCATGGCACATGCTTGTAGTCCCAGTATTATAAAGGCGGAAGCTGGAGCATTCCTGGGCTGTGTAGTAAGACCCTGTCTCAGAAAAAAACCCAAAAAACAACCAAAACATTTAATCAAGAAGTCAAAAGCCTTGTCATTTGATTGCGTGCTTCAGAGGTAAATATTTAGTTCAGTATGTGCTTAATTGAAACTTTTTCTGTGCTTGTAGAAATTATATATGCAAAAATATGCTCTTATTTTTTATTTTGCATGAAAGAATTGTCCTATACTTTGCATACAACATGAATGCTTTCCTAGGTAATTAAGTATTTAATAATCAAATTATTCTTTCAATGGAAGATGAGTTTCCTAAACTTTGAGGTGGAATGCCACTGTGTTGCTCAGGGTAGTAACAGTGGTCCTCCTACCTCAGCCTCATAAGTAGCTAGGACTACAAATGCATACCACCATACCTGCCACACCTGCCACACCTGATTGGTGGTTGGAGTTTGAGGAGGGAAAAACAGACTTTGGATCATTGACAGTTTGCTTTTTATGACTATTTTCCTCTGACCACAGGATTGGTGAGAGAATCAAGTAAAATGTGAAAGGTGCTTTTAGTAATCAGGTACAAGAAGAGAAAATTGTGTGCCAGTTTTGCTTGTGGTAAGCCTGCATCTACTTGATCTGCTGACTCCCAATTACTTCCTGAAGCTTATTCACAAGTTTTTTCTTTTTTCTGTCATTTATTAAGGGTGTGGTGTTGGGGATCAAACCCAGTGCCCTGTGCATGCTAGGCAGGCACTCTCCCACTGAACTACATTCCCAGCACTTTTAAGAATTGTAAAAATTGGGGCGGGAAGGTAGCTCAGTGGTAGAGTGCTTGCTTTGTATGCATGAGCCCCTGGGTTCAATTCTTTAGCACCACATAAGCCGAAAAAGCCAGAAGTGGTGCAGTGGCTCAAGCGGTAGAGTGTTAGCCTTGAGCTGTAGAGCTGAGGGACAGTTTCCAAACCCAGTGTTCAGGCCCCATGACCAAAAAAAAAAAATTGTAAAAACAAAAACAAAAAACCCTGACAAGTTTATATGGTAATTATTAAACCAGAGTCAGTCTAAAGGTAACAAGTCTAGCCACTGGCAGCAAATGGCATAGTGGGCTGGGACGGTGTCTCAGTGGTAGAGCGCTTGCTCACATGTATGAGGCCCTCGGTTTGATTCCTCAGCATCACATAAGCAGAAAAATCCGGAAGTGACGCTGTGGCTCAAGAGGCAGGGCGCTAGCCTTGAGCTGAAGGGCTGAGGGACAGTGCCCAGGCCCAGAGTTCAGCCCCCACGACCAAAAAAAAAGGCATAATCTAGACATCCTAATTTTAAAACATGAAGACTACTTAAAAGTTGTCTAATTTAGAGCTGGAAGAATACTTAAACTTCAGTTCTAGGAAAAGGTGGAGTACATTAAAACAACCAGTACTGTGAAAGTTGAACCTCAGGGTCTTTGGCTTTACAAAGAGAATAATACCTTCCTGAGATCTTAAGAGGATATAAGAAAGTGTAAAAATTCTGGAATATATTCCCTTAAGACTTTTGTATAGGGTTGATTCTCTTAAAATTGTAGCTACTAAGTTATATACCTATTTTTAACAGTATATACTCCTTTCTAAAGAGAAACATAATGAGTTTTGGAGGGTGATGGTCATGACTATTTTGTCCCAGAAGAAAGCAAATATTAGTATTTTTCATTAAGGTACACTTTAAGCATTTTTTAGTCTTTTGTATATTAAATATTTGTATACATGGTAAATTCCGAGAGTACATATATACATATATATGTATCTATATCTATCTATCTATCTATCTATCTATCTATCTATCTATCTATCTATCTATCTATCTGTCTTGCTGATTCCAGGTTTTTTTTTTTTTTTTTTTTTTTTTTCGGTCGTGGGGCTTGAACTCTGGGCCTGGGCGCTGTCCCTCAGCTCCTCAGCTCACGGCAAGCGCTCTACCACTTGAGCTACAGTGCCACTTCCGGTTTTCTGGTGGTTATTGGAGATAGTCTCACGGTCTCTCCTGCCCGGGCTGGCTTTGAACCGCGATCCTCAGATCTCAGCCTCCTGAGTAGCTAGGATTACAAGCGTGAACCACCAGCGCCCGGCTGATTCCAGGTTTTGAACTCAGGGTTTGGGTACTGGCTCTGAGCTTCTTTGTCTTTGAGCTCCTTTTGCTCAAGGCTAATGTTTAATACTTGAGCTATAGCTCCACTTAAGGTTTTTTTGGTAGTTTATTGGAATAAGAGTCTCAGGGATTTTCCTGCCCTGACTGGGTAGGAGTGTTTTCTAATAGCAGAATTATGGATTTTTTCCTG